AGCATACAAGCTGTGCTACAAGGAGCTGACACTTGAGCTGTCAGCATGACATTGGAGAAGAATGTCAGTGTTTATAAAGAAAATAAAGTTATAAAGAAGAAAACAGAAACAGGGCTTCCCATGCTGCTGCTAGCATTTTTTTGCTGAGACAAGAGGCTAAAGCCTCTAGTCCAAAATCTTGCCTCCATTTTACCAAACATTAATGTGACCCCTTATAAGGCTTCCCCACACACCCATTCCTTTTAAAACTGTTTTAAAACTCAACCTCAAGAAGACAAAAGAACAATATCTTTTGTGATCTGGTATTCTCCATCTGGACAAGCCTTTTTACTGATTTAACTGCAGTAGATGGGATGGTATCATGGAAGTTTACCTGTTTCCCATGAAAAGCATTTTCAGGTCCCCTTTCCTATCTGTTTCTCTTTTTTTTTTTTTTTCTTTTTTTCTGTTCAACTTTGTTTTCATTGTACTGAAAACAAAAGATGCATCTACAACAGAATTCTGTTCTGCAGCCAATTATAACACAACACTCTCTCAAAATAATAAAACAAGAAAAAAGAAGTGGTAGGAACCAGTATATCGGGGAACTAGGAACTCAGGGTCTATGCAACTGCACAGATCTTAATCGCTCATGAAGACTTTCCTGCAAAGGAACATCATCTATTTCCTGTGATGAGGCTGGGAACCAACAGATTTTTGCTCTACAGCTTATCAAACTTTTTTTTTCCCCCAGGATCTAGTGAAACACAGAGAATCCACACACAGGGGGGACACAAGAATCTTGCCAAATTAAAAATAATTAATTTCTTCCAATTTGGGGGCTTCAGTGATCCACCAGCATACAAAGTTTCAAGCTTTATCACAGTCTAGTACAAACATATTTCTGATTCTCATATAAAGGACAGGTTGCATGGACAGCAAATAGGAAACTCTGCAATACCTTTTAAAGGCCCACTGATTAAACTGGGAAGATTAGGTCTGATTGTCTGGAGCAATACATGTAGTGTCACACTTTTTTTTTGTGTTTGCCTTTTTTTTTTTTGTCTGTTTGGAATTTTCTTAAATTTACTTATTTCAGTTCCCTATTTTATCTGCAACAACTGCAAAAACTTGAAGTAACCAGCCAACCTCTACACAGGTGGGTTTTTCTCCCATCACATTTTTAGGGCAGTTCTGAAGACCCTCATAGCTAACATCATCTCCAACAGTGGCAGCTAAGCATTGGTTTTAGGACTGACCCTGCAGGCTCTCAGGACAGGGCAGCTTGTGGAGTGAGGGGAGTGCCAGGAGCCATTTCGCAGCAGGGCTTTGGGGGCTGCTCTACCTCTTTCCTATGAGAAGCAGCATATTCAGAGGAAAAGCACTTCCAGATAAAGGAGTAGAGGGTCAAAACCAATAAGAAGGCTTTGCCCAAAGGTTTTTTGGCATCTTGATCAAGTTGTCATGCAGAAAAATAGCCCAGCACCATTTCCAATGTGCCTTTTGGCCTTTTTTGTGAAACCCTATTCATGAAAAACTCCTGTATGATCAGCAAGGTTATGAGCCAAGTGGGTTAGTAACTTAAATGGAGGCACAACTTCAGCTGCACAGGTAAGAACAATGGCCCCAGTATAGTAGAGCACTGAAACACACACTTAGCTTGAAATATAAATAGTCCTGATACAGAAGCTAAGGTCTCGCTCAAGGACTTTGCTGATGTGAAGCCCACAAGCCCAATTACAGAGGCACTTTGAAACAAAATAAAACTGTACCAGCCCTGGAGATAACTTGCACAATGTTCTTGAAAGTGACAATATTTTGAAAATAAAATTCATGGAAAATTTTAGAGCCTGAGGATATCTGCACAGAAACGCAGTTGGAATATCTTAAAAATGGTTAATAATTTCAACAGCTTCTATTGAAACCTTATGAAGTCTGGGCTTAAAGACTGCAGGTTATAAAAAGCCATCATATTTTTTACTGATGAAATTATGAAAAGATGCCTCTTAGTCTAGCCTGAGCTTGTGGTCATTGATTAAACTCTGGATATGACTGAAGGATAGATAAGAAGGTGGGAAAAGCTAGTAGCCTGGGGTTGTGGTCCTAATTGCATGCTTACATTTGCAATTCTGTAGCTTTTAACTTGATGACATTTTAAATGGAGTGATTAATCAGTCTTTACTTTGTTATTTGCAATGTACACATTTAACACTGCAGGCCAGATAAACTAGCCAACATAAATTAGCCACCTTATTGGCAGGTTTATACCACTAGAGCATCTGGTCCTCCCTGAATTAATTCATACTGTAGACAGGACGAGTACAAGTCTTCTTTTAAATTCATGTGAAAAATACGAATATTCGTATTTTTCACTTGACTTGATTCTCTGTCTAGTTGTGTTTTTCTTAAACAGCTTCTCCAAATCCAAAGTGACATGAAGCATGGGACATACCTCTGGGAGTCCTGCGTGTTCAACCCTTCTTGCAGACCAGCATTTGCCATGTGGCACGACGGAGTTTTTCTTGTCAGGCTCTGCGCTGCTTGCCATGAGAAAGTTCTTGGCACCGCTGGTGGTTTTTCAGGTAGGATATCTGCAGAACGTGGGTTTGTGCAGCAGATAGGGCAGCTTGCCATTTCTTGGCCTACCAGGTCCTTTCATAGAAGCGGCACACAGCAAATAATGCTCTATAGTTACATTAATTATTTTTTTTTTTAAACTCTGAAGCATTAATTCTTTATCATACTGCATTGCAATGAAGTAGGAAGGGGAAGCAGGCCAAGGGAGAAGAAGAAACAAAAAAGACTCCTTGTTTTTGAAGTGATATTTAGGTTCAAACATTAAAACCAGCAATACGATGCCCAATTTCTGCCTCTGAAGCACTCATACGGGCATCAGGGTAATACAGCCAAGTGAAGTTACCATCTTCCATTAACGTGTGCAGTAACATCAAACTCCAGTTACTGAGCTCACCATAGGAACCCAGCAAGCATCCAACCTCCACTGTCTGATTCAGGAAGCACAAGCAAAGCCATACAGCGGGGTGAAGGAAGGGAGGACACTGTCTCTTGGTCAGGAGGGTGATATGTGCACAGAAAGGCCCTCGGAGAGATCGGAGAGGTCCAAGACAATCACAGGGCATGGTAAAGATCATGAGGCCGGGTCTCTGTCAGTGATGAAGTGCAGGTGAAGTTAGCACTTCAGTTCAGAAGCATAGGAGAGAGACAGGGAATGGCTGGGACAGGGCAAAACCAGTTTAGGAATCAAGAGGTTTGATTGGAATGCTTAGCTTAAAAACCCGGCTCCCAGATGAAGGTATTATGATGCCCAAGTCAGACAAAGTCAGACATTGCAGGTGCCCCCTCCCTGGCAGTGTTCAAGGCCAGGTTGGATGGGGCGCTTTGAGAAATTTGGTCTGGTGAAAGGTGTCCCTGCCCACGGCAGGGCTTTTGGAACTAGATGGTCTTTAAGGTCCCTTTCAACCCAAACCATTCTGTGATTCTATATCCAAAGACATTAAAGTTTACCCTGCTGATAATAAGGCTCTAGTGGTTTAGAAACTTTACCCTAACTTTCGTTTTCACTGAAATGAATCAAAATAATAAAAATACTCTCAAAATTTAAGTGATCCATTATAATAATTTTTTTTTTTTAAATTAGAAATGCTTAATGTAACAGTTTAGGCTTATAATGGAACCCAATTATCTTTATACATGGTATTAAATATAAAACATTACTGCTCCTACAGTTTAGGTTACAAAATAAAAATGTCACTAGTCTTGTTACTCTAGGTTTTAATAATAATTTTCTACAACATGAAATAGTTTGATTACCAAGACCTACCAGTGGTCAGTGACGGCAACTCACAAATAATGCTTCACGCTCCTAACAAATGGCACACAAAACTTACCTTTCATTATACATTTTAATAATTGCAAGTCGTTCAATTCTGATTTTTATACAACCAATTATACATTAACCTGTACACATACTCAATTCCAGTCACAATGTATATATATTTTTGGATCTGCAGCAATATAAAACGAGTTCTACCTGTATATACATGTGCAAGTCTGAATGAGTCCTGAGTAATTTTAAAGTACTATTAGGCAAATCCTGTAAATTTCAATTGGTGCAAATAAACCCCACATTTTACGCTATTGTGAAGAAGCTATTTTTCACAAAAAGAAATATAGCACTTTGCATTAGCTTTATGCATAGCTATGAGCTATGTACAGTGCACAGTATCCTCTTACAGTCTGGGTAATTAGAAAATCTGAAAGATGCTGACTGCATTCTTCGGTAACTATTGCTTCCTCTGCTTCTTAATTAATGGCGAGTGATTCGTTCTGCTTCAAAACCACCAAGTGTGGAAGACTTTTACAGGGTTTAAATTATATTCTTTCTGCTGCATATATTTTTGTAAACATTCAAGTTACCCAGGCCCTTTATTCTTCTGTGGAAAACTATACAATTACACAATCAAATAGTTAGAACGTGTGTCTAGGAGAGGGAAAAGAAACAAGAGTGGAGTATGAGCATTACCTTAAACACCACAATATACTACAAGGAAACAAAAGAGGAAGTGTTCTTTAAGGAAGAGCTTGGACAGAAACCAAAAGGCTGCTCAGAAACCCTCTGTCAGCATGACACACCGCCACGGTGAACACGAGATGCTCTCGCACCACCAGAACAAATTGTCTGAGCAAATGGGAAGGAAGCACTCCTGCTAAGGGGTGGACTCCAACTCAGCATGAGAGTCAGAATTTTTGTACAGTATTACAGAGCCAACTTACACAAAAATGTCTGTATAACCCATGCCAGGAAAATGGGGGCACTAATATGAGAGCTGGTAAAGAACACAGGTTAGCATTGGGACATCCTCTTTAATTGGAGTTGTTTTGATGCAACTTCCCAGGTATGGAGGAAGATACCATTTTTCTTGCCCCATTTGTCTTGCATCACAAAAGCAAAGGCACCACTTGGACTGTGCTCCTCTAGTAGAAGGGTCCTGGCCCAAAAGTTAACTGGTCCCATGGCTGCTATAGTCAAAAACGCCTTTCCTGAAGAAGGGTGAGAATTCGCAGATGGTGTGTTTTGACAGGGTTAGCCTCACTTTATCAATGTGCAGCGGAGACGATGGAGATTTCAGCATTGCAGAGAAAAAGCTCCTGAGGTATTTCTGTGGAACGAAATGCAAAATATCGTAAGGTTTACTTGATCAAATTGATTACAACCAGTTCAATGAATTAAATCAACAGCAGTATAAAAAAAATAAAAAGAAACAAGATCTCCATGGACTGTGAAAAGTCCTATTAATAACCATCAGCATTTAAATCCATCCATAAAACAGGTCTACTGAAATGTCTGTATTAAGCTCAGGAAAAACAGAAAAGAAGTATTTTCCACTTTCTTCCTTTGCCAAGCTTAGTAACTATTTTATTCTGTGCTTGTGTGATGCTTGCTGGTTTATTCTGTAGTTGTGTAGTGCTTTCTGCTAATCATGACCTGCTAATACTGCCGTCTACCATTACCAAACACTATAGCAGGTGCAAGTGTCCAATGTATTCTGCAGGAATTTCAGTACATATGGACACAAAAGGACTTCAGAAATCTTTCCCTCATCAAGCCTCCACAATCCTTGCATCAAAAAGGATTTGTTTTGATCAAGGCCATCTGTACAAAGATTGCAGAACTTCCATATTATCCAAGAACCTACCAGCATCTTTCTTTTCACTGAGCTGCCCTCTAAACTTTTTTTTTTTTAAGTTTTACACAAAAGAAGTATTTCCCTTCCTAAAAGTTAGTATTCACCAACCGCTGCGCAACTTGCATCCATTTGTATTCAGAGAAATTGTGACAGATGCACATTAACACAAAGTTAGTTTTCACAAACCTGATGGGGTTTCCTTCACATATGGGCTGAATTATTACAAACATTTAGAATGATTTAATGTCATATTTGTAACTTCTGAATGAAACACGGTAGGTAAAATGTTGATAAGTCTGGTGCTAAAGAAGTACTCAACGTCACCCAAATAGCTGTAAGGGAAATCTCATCAGGAGCAAAATCCTTTGGTCTGCTACAGACTGACCACAGAAGAAGAAAACTCAAGAAATTATTCACAAATCTTGGATGCAGTGGAAAATAAATCTGCAAGACAGAAGAGCACAAACTCCTCTGAAGACTACAAGGTTTAGTTATTTGAATGTAGCAGATTTTGGGTCATGGAAATGGTTCTATGTTTGTGAAGCAGTCCTTATTATTCACCCTCTTCTCAAGGAGAATTCCTCCATAGTATAACAACCTGTTATTTATTGAAGTGCCTTGGAAATCAGCTGTATTAATATCACAGAAAGCAGAATAACAAAAACAACAACAAAAAAAGCAGCTGACACATAAACTATTCTCTTGGCAGGACTGGTGAATTTTCTCTTTTATTCAGATCTCCCACCGGTTGTATTAATGTTCATGAAGAAAAGTTTCATTACAAAAATGCCTTCAAGATTAATTCCAACAGACTAAGAGGTAATTTAAAGTTAGCAACAGATGTCACATCAACATTTGTCATAATTAGTTCACAAAGTAGGCCCCTTTAAAAAAAGTCCCAATCCAGTAATGCCTGAAGGATGAATATAGTAGAAAATCAAATGTAAAACATGGCATCCTATTAGAGTTTTAGCACTGTGCTGAAAAGTTACTGCAGTAATTCCAGTTTATGGCTAACGATGGCTCAAAGGTACCAAAATTTCTTGCCAGACATTACAAAACCTAGTGCTTTCACCTTGGTAAGTATGATCAGATAATTGACAATCATACCTTTCCTGTAGAGCCATTATTCATTGTTTTGGCACGATAGCTCAATGTCAGAGCAAAAAAATCTCTTCACTGTAAGTATATACCTATCTGACAGGGAAACACTAGGAACAGCAGGTATACTTTATTTTCCCAGATCTGCACACAGGAATTGCTCAGTGAATGTCACAGACCCTTTGAAAATGAAAAAGATCCTTGGGAAAACGGCAACAAGCAGACCCTACCAGATTATGATGGAATTCATTTTGTATGAAGGATTCCAGCCATATGGCTTGGCATTATGTGCTCTTCAACAACCACCTCTGAGAAAATTAGCACTCTTAAATCCCATATCTGCATTTGCCCTTGTTTGCAACGCTGATGTGTTAGCATAGCGCAGAGCTGATGTGCCCTTGACACAAAGGAGCTGTTGCTTCAATGAAATAAAGGCTGTTCTGCCCAGATATGCTGGCTAGGAGTTAAGTCCCGTAGTGAGGGAAACAGTGATTGATGGCAGAAGTGTTTGCTCACACCACAAGCATATGCCTCAATTAAAGAGCTGTGGCTAGGCAGTAAGGGGGAAGGTTGTTCTGTCCTGTTGGCTGCCATGTGGATGACAAAGTGGAAGAAAGTGGTAGGAGAAAAGGAAGAGTGCTCCTTACCAGTGTATGGAAAGATGCTTCCCAAATTCAGATGGGATAGGGAGAGGATGAGAGTCACAGCAAGCTAGAAGAGGGGCAGGAGCACATCAACACCAAGTGCCAGAGATGACAGAAAGAAAACTTTCTTAGGGATCCAGAAAGGACTTGACACGGACTATGTTGCAACCCAGGAAGCCACTGCAAGCTGCTGGAGTGCGAGTAAGGCTAGATGAAAGGCTCTCCTCTGCCAGGACTTGGTGGGCAGGGGGAGAGTTGTGTTCAAAGCTTTTATGTTAAATCCATTTCCAGCAGCAGATATGATTTTTTGCTATTTACAGAATAGTGTTGTTTGTGCTGAGTTAAAACTCAGTAGGAAGCACTCTGGTATCTTTTGATGTGTTCCTTTAAAAAAAACTTCTTAGCAGAAACTGGCAAGCTCAGGGTGCCTTCATAGAAACATGTCCAAATTTTATACAAATTAGTGCTGTGACTTCCTACCAGCACTTCACTGATAGCATCTAAATCATTGTCCCTAGTATGCAAAGCACTATTTATAGAAATCCTACTTTTGCTAGGTTTGTATGATTACCTTAGAAAGGAAAAAAAACCGTAGATAACTGTTACAAATATTCCAAAAGGCTTGGTTTTATTACTCATTTTCATTTGTTAGCCTTTCAAAACTCTAGTCATTTGTTCTGGATTATTTAGTCTAGTAGTCAGCGTTCTTCCAAATGCAGTTAGGAATTTCATTTCACTAATAGTGTTCAACCTGTTATGTTGCTGGTTTGCTGGAAAATATCCTAATTATAAATTTGTAAACGCCTCAATGTGAGGACACAGGACCCTGGCACTATAACAGGGATATAAAATGAGTAACTTACACATCAATCATGTTGGTTGCTCAGTCTAAGCATACATTCAGGAACACCAGTTTAGGGAATAGAAATACTCTTCACATGTAAAAAACACTTAAAAGATAGAAAGCCAGGTTATAAAAAAAATCTGAAATAAGAAAAGCAGTGGTTTTGCCCTCTTGGCACGCATTACAACCTCCATGGCCTTTAACTTAAAATTTATGACAGCCATACTGCAAGATTTAGCTTTGCATTCCAAGTGTTCGCAAATGAAACAAGACTGGGGAAAATGTTGCGAGGCCCAAAGGTTTTTCTTTACTTACTAGTTCAAGTAGCTTTCCTTCCCTTTTAATTATGTGAATAGCAAAATGGCAACGACTTTAAAAGCTTATTAAAAACCACTTTAATAGGGTTCATCTTTTTAGCAGTAGGCCAGTGTTCACCTTGTGCTCAATCCATCAGCACAGCAAAATCATTCTAATGATTTTTGCACTACTTTGTGATGTGGGAACCTCATAATTTTATACATTTTAATATAAATCCATAACTTAATTTAAACTTAAAGTTATTACAATCAAAAAGCTTTCTAGAACGTGAAAGTGTTCTTATCATCCTTTCAATTGTGGCATATTAAAGAAGAATTCAGTTCAATGACATTGTTCTCACAACCCATTGCAAACAGTGACAGCCTCAGAGACCAATAGCAGAGCTTAGCAAGAATTGGATTTTTTCATTAAACTTTGGTGTGTTTAAAACCTCATCAACTCTAGTACTTCCAGAAAGTGAAGAAACTTTGACCCTTCTCTCTCCTACTGCTGTTTCTAGCAATTTCCTCAAAAAGGTCAGCATTTTAAATTCTTTAAATGTAACACTTTATTAGTAGTATTATATGTATCATCTGCTAATAATTGAGGGAGCTGACAGCACCACAAACTTTAATAAGATAAACCTTACAAGGCTTTGGGCATTTTTGAAACAATAGGTTATTTTCTTTGAAACAATACCACCCTTTCAACACCTACACATTAATGTGACAGTCAAAAGCTTTACCACAAGGTCACAGAAGGTCACCAGTGGCAGAGACAGGACTAATTAACTTGCTCATCTAACTTCTAGCATTGGCTCCTCTCTCCCTTTAATATAGATGCCAGTTTCTCTCAGCACCAATCACATAATCATTCTGTTGACTAGTGTTGAGTGCTGCAAGCTTTAAATCAAATCCTGATTTGAATAATTCATAGAGCAAAGCATATGGAGGCATCAGCAGCTGTTTTCTATAGGATAGGAATCTGATTATGAAAAAAAGACAGATTGAAGCATATTCCCTGACTCTGAAAAACCACATTAGGTATTTGCAAAGTAAGATCTTCCCCAGGAAGACTCCAGCCTAAAACTAGCAGAGAGGAACATGCTTCGCTTCCAATCCGTGATCAGAAAAATAAGGATCTGCTTAGAAGACAACGCATGCAAATAGAGCCTGCTGTAATGCAGAAATGGGAGTGCATCTCCTGCCTTTGTCTCCTAGAAAGAAATTGTTGGGCATATGCAAAGGAAAACGAACATTTGGGGATCCTTTCCCAAATTAACCAACTTTCTCTATTTTGGATATTTCCACTGGTGTCTTGAAGAGAAAAAAAAAAAAAAAAAATTACTTCCCGGGTGGATTTTCAAACACAAAACACTGCAGAAATGTCAGCTATTGTCATTAACTGCAGTCTCTACTGACAAAAAACAAAGATTGGCTTAAATGCACTGACAGGCAATGGTGTCCCACAAGAGACTTCAGGCTGGGGAAGGGCCCTGTCTGGGGTGATGCTATATACAGAATCTGACGAGAAGAGATGGTACATCTTCCCAAGAAAAAGAGAATTCAAATTTCTCATTGGACCCA